ACCCACAGACAGGTATGGGGTATTAAGTCAAGTTGTTGGCACTAACACTTCTTGACAGACGGACAAACAGAAAGGGTGAATAGGCAGCTGGAGGATTATTTGCGATGCTATGTCTCGGGAGACCAGACCGATTGGGTAAGTCATTTGGGACTTGCGGAAATGTGTTATAACAACTCACCACATTCGAGTATCGGGGTGAGTCCATGGGAAGTCATCAATGGGCGAGCTATTGAAGGTCCTGTGGAACTCGGCGTGGCAGAGTATCATGGAGAGTTGCCCGCAGTGGAGGCATTCACGGCGGAAAGACTCAGCATTTGGAATCTAGTGAGGGATTCCTTGGAACGGGCTCAACAAAGGCAAACCAAATACGCGAACCAGAAGCGTCGGGATGTAGAGTTCCAAGCTGGGGAGAAGGTGTGGCTGAACACCAAGAACCTCAGACTACCAAGTGGGATCAGCCGAAAGTTGACCCAAAGGTAAAGATGCATGTATTCCTGTAAATGAATTGATCTTGAGTTCCGTAAGCAGGTTCGCGGGGCCTTACGAGATTGAGGCACGAATCGGTAAAGTGGCTTACCGACTCCGACTTCCTCGAGAGATGGGGAAGATGCACCCAGTGTTCCACATGAACTTACTCAAGCCGTACTTTGAGGATCCGCTTCGCAAGGACCAAGTGAGACCTTTACCTGAGGTTATCCAAGGGGAAGAGGAATACGAAGTTGAGGCCATCCTCAATGCGCGCAAGAGCAAGCAACAAGGACACGAGGTGAGAGAGTTCCATGTGAAGTGGAAAGGATTTCCACACTGCGAAGCAACATGGGAACCGGAGGAGAACCTAGCGAATGCGCGAGATCTAGTGGAGGAATTTCTGCAAGGCAGAACTCTATGTACTTATGAAAAATTCAATTAAAAATATCAATTTGCAAAGTTGAGCAAGTGGCACATGTTGGGACCCGAAGGCGCGCCGAAGGTAAGCTAATTAGCATGGGTTGGATAGGTCGACCAGGCATAGGGCACTACGCCCGACTCCCTGCGGGGATGTCGAATCCGTAGACGTATTCTACGGAGGTTGGGTTCGAGTCCCAACCCCCTAGTAAAGCAAGGCTGGGTTCAAGTCCCGACCCCATACTAGGGGGTGGTGAGGTGAGGAGTATAGGGACACCTATATTCCGTTGTCATGGGCTCTTGGCCGGGGAGGCTAACTTAAGCACACCGCTAAGTGGGGGGATGCCCCCGGAGACATGGTCAACAAGTCGTAGGATAAAACGAGACGTTCGATGTGGGCATCGAACTTCTTCTATGGGTGGTGGAGTTGTAAGGAACCGACTCCCCGAGATGTCATAGGCTAAAGGATCCCCAAAAGCTTGACTGAAATGACAAAGAGTTCATCGGATGGGACCAAGTCGAGGATCGAGTCCAAGACCGACTTTAGGACCGAGTTCGAGATAGAGTCCGGAATCGAGTCCGAGACCGACTCGGGGACCGAGTTCGAGACCGAGTTCGAGACGGAGTCCAAGATCCGAAATCGGGTCCGAGACCAAGTCCGAGGTTGAGTCCGAGGTCGGGTCCGAGATCGGGTCCGAGATCGAGTCCGAGATCGAGTCCGAGACCGAATCCGAAGTCGGATCTGAAATCGGGTCCGAGATCGAGCCAGAGACTAAGTCCAAATACTAATACGGGTCAAGGGGTGAAAGCCCAAAGCGTGCGTCTCCCAAGGGGGGGAGGGGCTGCAGGGGGTTCCAAAAGTATAGTAGGGATAGTGAGGTCCAGGAACCAATCTTGAAGGAACTCTCTAGTGGTGCTTCCAAACTGACTTGAGGTTGAGACTGGGGCCAAGGGGCCTTGGGTGGGAGTGAGCATGGGCTTGCCACGGTGTTTCACCCCGACGTCCCGAAGCAAGTGCTGCACCCAAGACTTGGGATTTAGAGGGTCCCATGATCAAGTCTTGTGGTACCAAGGGGTGTTAGGAATCTGGAGGCTTGGTGTGCTTGGCTGCTTGTGCCTGCGGTGAGTGTAGCCGAACCTTAAGTCCAGTCTAACCCGGAGAGGGGGATTGGGAGAGATTTGGGAATCCGTAAATGGATGGCTAACACTCCGTTGCTCGTGCAGTGAGTAGCTGAAACCAAGTAGGACCAAGTAGGAGCTGGTACCATAGGCGGGAACCTTGGCGAGGGAACTTAGCACAAACCAAGGCAGAGTTGGTCGGATAGACGAGGTAAGCTGGCAAATTGGAAAGGAAAAATTTGTGGCTTACACATACCCAGATTGAGGAACCACTCCCTAGGTTGTTAGGTAGGTTCATCCCCAAGAATACTTGCTAAAGCATGGTAGAAAGTGCAAAGTTATCCTCCTAGTTTGGAGGTGAATAACCGAAGGAAATGTGTGAGGCTAAAAGCAAGTAGTAAAAGAATAAAACCAAACCATAGGAATCGAAGAGCATAACCAAGGGTGGTTATATTAGTTGGGAGTGGAGAATCAAGTGGGCGCTCGAGCATGTTGTTACTAGCAACCATGATGCCATGAAGAGTCTAAAGCATGGAATTGTCCATGCTAGACCATATGGCAATTGGAAAGCTTGCGAAAGGAGAGGCCTTAGCAAGCTAAGGGACAGAGTTCCTTCAAGATTCCCAAAGACAATTCTAGGTAGTGTAGTACCTAGAAAGCCAAGTGTAAATGGTTCATAGAATGTGTGAAATCAGAGTGGTGCAGCAAAAGTGTGGTCTTGAAGCTTGCCATAAGGCAATGCTATCAAGGTTGGGGAACTAGTTCCCAAGTGTTCAAAGGGATAACTTTGAACGAAAGTCGATAGTCAAGAACTTTCATGCTTATGTATGAAACCATGTTACATTGGTCGGATGATTTGTTAAGCGAGAGTGGCAAGTCAAGGGAACAAATCCCTTAGTTGAAGGTGCTAACTTCAAAAAGGGTGGCCTACGGGGCCAAGCATGGAGGAGTCCATACATGATCATAGACTTGTCAAGTGAAAGGACTTGGCAATTTGGAGGGACTAAGTTCCTAAGCTATGATCCGTAGCGCGCTTTGGATATAAATTGGTGCACCAGCATGGGGAGTCACGCCAAGCATCTAGGGTGATGCCGTCCGTAGATGCATATACGAAGGTTGGGTTCGAGTCCCAACCCTCTAGTGCTTGGGTTTAAGTCCCAAATCACTAGGGTGTGGTGATGGTTTGGAATATGAGGACACTCATATTTTGGTGGTCATGGACTCTCAGTGAGGAGATTGGTTTGGGCACACCGCCAAGCTAGGGATGCCTCAGAGTCGTGATGCACGGTTAGATTGTTTAGGGTGAAAGTTGAGCATATCTAACTTGAACGCTTTGGTGCAAGTGGCACTAAGGACGTGGTGAGTGAGATTGCCCGGGCAGATTGATCTACTGCATAGAAAAGCCAAACAATTCAGATGTCTTTCCAGAAGAACTTCGGTACTCTAAACGTTAGTATGATCGTACCTGGGGCATCTCGTGCACGTAGTCCGAGTAGGGGAAGTTTGGACAGTTTTCACCCCGGAACTTGATGTAAACTCGGTCATAGATCCTGTGATTAAACATTTTATCAAAAATCTTTCTAGAAAAGAAAGGAAACAAAGTGGCTTCTGGGGTGCTGGATGACTTGATGTATATCTGTTTGTTCTTGTCGACAGCCCTGATGGTTATAGATCCATAACTTGGACGGATGGGCGACACACAGTGTCCAGCCCTGTTGCTGTGAAGACCATGGCTTGATCATGATTCTTATGGAGTAGACGGGGTTGCGAGGCAGAAGAGTTGATAGCATGCCTTTCACTCCCGACGATGTTTCATGTGACTACACAACGTTGTGGAGTGTGGGAACGAGTAGTCAGTAACATCTTCTACTTACAACATGGTAGGAGGTGCTGGAAAAACACTCCTGACAATGACCAAGTCAAGGTGCATTTCGATCCAGTTTTGTGGCTAACCATTCCTAAGATTATCACAACTGCATGCAACATGGTTTGTATTTCCTCTGATGGAAGCAAAGCAACACGAGCTTGCCAAACTAATCAGACTAGAAGGTCGGACCAGCAATGAAACGGGGCTTGCAGGGAAAAGGTGCTTGCTGGTGTTGGATAATGTCTGGAAATCCGGTCTGTTTGGTGTGGTGGAAGAGACTGGAAGCAAGATCTTTATTACCAGCCGAAAAATTGATGTGCTTGGCAGCAGAGGTGCAATCAAAACAGAGATGGGGCTCTTGGGAAAAGTTGTTCACAGTCCACGCATTCCCAAACCAGAAACTTGCTAGTTCAAGTAAGGTAGTAGTGGAGTGAGTTGTGGGCAAGTGTGCTGCTCCTGAAGGTAATTGGCAGAAGAATGGCAGGCACACAAGATTGGGACTATGTTCTAAGCAAACTGTAAAAATCTGGCTTGTTAAGTCGCCTTGGACGTCGCACTTGAACGTCATGCACTTATCACTGAAGAAAAAGAGCTCTTCCTTTACACACCCTGGAACAAATGCCCCTTGGAAGGGTTACCTCAAGGCTGAAAGGTCTCATTCCAGGGAATGCCTTCAGTAACTACAACAAGATTTCACTCGTTGGGTGTAGAATTTCTGAAAATACCCCCCTACCTATGCAGAACAAGGTCAGAGTTTCAAGCACCACTTGCTTGCTCCCGGATTATAATCCCCATTGCACTCTAACTACATTACGGTTTTGTGCCTAAGTAACCCTGGGGTGGTAAGTTTGCCACATAGCATTAGAGAGCTCAAAACTCTAAAGACTATGGATTTGACTTGGAACATAATACTCCAATTCTCCAATGTTTCCCATGCTGACATTGTCAAACCTCTCCCTTGGGAATTGTGAAAAATTGATTGGGGTTCCTTGAAATCTCCTCTTCTGCATCTTGTTCCTTCCAAATCTAAAGACAATTTGCATAGGTTACTGTGACGGAGTGACCACCCTCAACATATACGAGTGCATTAGAGACGTGTTGAAGTCGTGAATTTTGGTTCAGTGGCGAGTTCCCCTTAAACAAACATTGCGTTATTCACCAGCTTCCAAAATGGTACACATCATTCACGAGCTCTGGAATTGAGTTATCCAAAACTTTCCTTCAGTTGACTCCCCGTATGTTTGACTGTTTGTTGAACTTTGAAAATGTTTTCATGTCTAAAAGATTTGGAATATTGGCGCCACATCTCAGACTAACGAAGCTTGGGAACAACGGGAAGTCCATCTTTCATGATCAGCGTCATGTTGATACCGTAGCAAGGCTCTTCTTTTCCCACCACCACAAGCTCAAACTTTGGTACCAGAGCCGCCACCACATACTTCATCTGTAGCATGGCCATCTCTTTGCCCAGACACACTCTCGGCCCGGCCTGAAACACCGGAAACTTGAATGGACTCACCTCGACGAACTGGCCATCCTGGATCCATCTCTCGGGCTTAAACTCGAGGCAGTCCTTCCCCCACAAGCTCTCCATCCTTCCCATAGCGTAGACGTGATACGATACCTTCATCCCCTTCTCCACACAATTACCATCCGGGAGAACGTCCGAGTTCTTCACGACCTTTGTGTCAATCGGTACTGGGGGATAGAGCCTCATTGATTCGCACAGAGCTGCTTGCAAGTAGACCATGTCCCGAAGCTCTTTGTAAGTGAATGGCCTGTTTGACCCTTTCGTACTCCCGACTTCCCTGATGATTTCCTGCTGAACACCTGGATGATTCGAGAGCAGCCAGAAGAACCACGAGAGTGACACCGCTATTGTGTCCTTGCCGGCGAGCACGAAACTTATGATGATATCCCGCAAAAACTCGTCAGAGAAGCTCGTCGAGTCGAGTCCAATGAACCTCGAGAGCAAGTCCTGGTTGACCCTTCCTTTTTCTTCTCGCCGCTTCTGGACCACTGACACTGCAAACTCGTTCACCACATCCAGCACCTCCTTGAGTTCTCTTTCCGGTCCAACGTTGAGAGCTCGCATTAATTTCCACACCAGAGGATGGATCTTTTGGAACCGCAGCGTGCTAAGCGTCGTTGCCTTGTCAAATGCCTGCGCGAACTTCACCTCCGGAAACGATGGATCCAAGCACGCCGGATCAACACCGAAAGAGAGCTTGCAAATGTTGTCGAAGTTAAACCTCATGAACAAGTCCTGTAAGTCGATCTCCTTCCCGTCCCGGGAAACACTGGCAAGAGTTGGAAGTAACCGGCTGTGAACTTCGTCCGCCAGGGAATCCATGAGGAACTCCCTCAGTGACCTCGTTGTGAACTCGAAGCTCGCAAGTCTCCTCTGAATCTTCCACAGCTCCCCGTCGACATTGAAAATACCATCTCCCAGCAAGTCGGTCAGGCTCTGCCTCAGGTGTTCTCCCTTGGGATAATTCTCAAAGTTGGTCTTCAAGATGTGCTCCACAGTTGCGGGATTGCCAGTGATTTTGAAAGTGCTGCCAAACCTCCCAGTGGTGAAAGTATTGGAGGGAGAGTTGATCACATACTCTGTCGACCACTCCAGAAACCTGTGGCTGTTGCGAAGGAAGTCGAACACATTCCCAACCACTGGATAAAGTACTGGACCGCCTGTTCGTTGCGAGTCGGCTCTTGATTGAATCGTCCTCCGGACTATCCAGCCCACCGCTGCCGCAAGAACAAAGCTCAAGCTCCACAACATACCTTGGTTCATGCTGAAAGCCCAGAAAAAGAGTGACGCATGTCAGTCGCCCTGACCAGTTGAAAACCCAAGTCACAAGGGAAGAAAAGCCAGCCAAAGAAAAAGATTCGAAGAAGCTACTTTGCCATACGATAAGAGACACGGCAGTCATTTGAGACGGTGCGTACCAGTGGATCTGAAAGTCACCAAGTCAAGTCATTACAAAAGAAATCTAGATTTCTAGTACCTTGCTGAAGTTTGGAATGACCCATGTTTTCTGTTGAGAGCTCTTCTATTTCCTCCACCCGAAATTCAATTTTGGTACCGGAGTTGCTTCATCGTCTTGACTCTCGGCTCAGCCAGAAACACTAGAAACTTGAATGGACTCGCACTGATCCATCTCTCGGCCTTAAACTCGAGGCATTTCTTATCTTCTCCATCCGGACGACTGTAGTATCATATGGGAGGATACAGCCTCACAAAGCTGCTTGCGAGTAGAGCTCGTCGTAAGAGAATTTACCTTCGCCAGTATACTCTGATAATTTCTCACGGGTTGAAAGCACCCAGAAGAACCAGGAGCAGTTGTGTCCTTCCCGGCCAGCAAGAACTGATGACGATTAACTCGAGTTTTGTCAGAGGTTCTATGTTCTATTTACTGAAAGAGCAAGTCGTTCAAATCAAGGAGTGAATTCTTAGAAACTGGAGTTGCTTACGTATGGTCAGGCTTCATGAACTTTGCGTGAACCCAGACTCGCTTCATAGGAACTTTAGTTTTGTGATTCACCAGCTTAATGCAGCAGTACTCCAGTTCAACCTGGAAAAAGAACAGACAGAATAAAAATAACAAGGAAACAAGCCTCGTTTTACCTCGAGCAGTCCAGCACCCGTAAAGAGATCACGCACGGCTTCGCATGAGAAGAAATACGACAAGGTACCATCGAAACGGCGATAGCAATTAGCAGCTACTTTTTGGTCTGCTGGAAATCTCAACATCGTCATGTCATACAAGCCTGTAGGCTTGCCACCGTGAGTCTTACTATTTCACGGAGAAATAGCATACCATAATCTCGAAAGAGAAGCATTCCACCGGGTCGGAGTACAGAGCAACATTCCTTGAGAAGGTTGCTCATTTGATCCAGATCTGCCAGCGCGGAAAGAGAGAAAATCTGAAAAGACAAATCAGTTTTAATTGCAAGACAATTTCAGGCTTACCAGCGTGATGAAATCTGCTCCTCCTTCGCAGCAGCTTACAAGGGAGCTCTTGATACCAAAGTCGGAGGCTCGACAGGCGTCACAAGCCAGCCACGCCGGAAGTGCCTCGCAGGAAGGATCGCAAACAAAAGTCCAAAGCCTCGACTTTGCTTGCTCATTCAAAGCTTTCTCTCCCATTTTGTTTGTGAGGCTCACGGCAGCCTCACTGAGGTCGCAAGCATACACTCTCGCGGTTGTTGTTGCTCTAGAACAAAATACGTCCTTCAGTAAGAGGGAATAGCAAACAACAACAAACCTCAGGATCGGAATGGCCGAACTTCCAGCTCCACATCCAACCTCCAGAACAGTGAACTCTTGATTAGATCTTCCAAGCTCAGGGAACTCTTTGAGAAGATACCTACGTTCCTGCAATGTGGAAAGCCCGTAAGGCAACAGTGCAGTGCTGATGCTTACTTTAAAGAAGATGCCTTGAGAGTGTCGGCTGTGAAACTTCTCCCATGCCAAGGCTGCAGTACAGGCATGCTCGCTAGAAATTGCCTTCTCTTCTACGCGAGCCAAATCCTAGTCAAAGAGAACAAGCCATTGATCAGTAAAAGGAAACAATATAATGTAAGCCCAACCTGTGCGCTCTCCACCTCTTCGCGCAGATCATTCCAATCAAAATCCTTGGAGTAGTACGCGACTTCTTCTTCCATGAGACCTAAAACGAGAGGCCAAATAAGAGTTGAATTCAACCGTTAGTTAATGTTACAAAAAATATAGTTTTAGTCAATCGCTCCAATTGTCCTCGTCGGCTTGCACTTGAGCCGCAATAGTCCCAAGAGCTTCGTCCTGAAAGAAAAAATCGCATCGATATCTCCTGTTTTTCACCACAAAGATGCCGTGCTCACCTCGGAAACCGACTGTTCTGGAGACCAAACGAGTATTCTACGATCATTGCTTCCGCTGTAGAGTTCCTGGGAGAAACAAAAGTATAGCTTCTCGAGGAAACAGAGAAACGATATCATACCTGTGATTGACTGTGATAAGCACAGCACTTTACAAGTTCATAGTGTCCTTTTAAGGTGGAAAGCAAGCGACCGCTCAACATATCGTACACCTGAAAATAGAGAATTATTCCGAATAGAGGGATAGGATACGTCGTACCTGTATCGAGGTTAGACATGGAACGAACACCAGTGGCTTGTCTCCAGAGACCTCAAGTTCGCACGTCAGGTTTCCATTTATGTTTGTTGCCTCGTAATTCACAAGAGTATTGCAGCCCCTTTCTATGTCCCATAGCTTGACTCTGGAATCACTGCCTGGCACATTGTGTTCTTATGATTTTCGAAAGTAAAGAAACAAAACAAACGAAGCCGTACCCGCACTAAGAAGGTAGTGTCCGTCGCGGCTTGTCTGGAGCGATGTCACTGTGCCATAGTGCGCCGTGGAACGGTCCAGAGCCGAAGTCAAGCCTGGATGAACTCGTCCAGGAGTGGCATCCTTAGAAGTTTTCGCTGCTCTACTGATTTCAGTGGCTTCAAAAAGTAGACAAAACAAAAGAGAACGAGAAGGAAACAATTACCTTCCTGAGAAGCAGAAGAACGATGCTGGTCAAGAACATAGAAGCAACCCGCACGTCTTATGTCCCACAACCGGATCGCACCGTCACAACCTCCGGAAATTAAAATCCATTCGGAAGATGCAGACCATTTCACCGCCCAAACAGCATCTGCAAGTACAGGAAAGGTTTTGCAGGGACAAACACAATCTCGAATACCTCGGTGAGCGCTAAGGGTGTGGGTGAAAGCACCAGAAGATATATCGCAAAGCCTTATGCGATAGTCCTCCGTGCCTGTAGCTATAAGCATGTGAGTCGTAGAAACGGGTGACATGCTTACACCGAAAACCTTCCCTGGCATTTTGAATTGCATCAGCACCTACAAAAGAACGATTCAGTGAATCAGAAACCAACAAAGAAAAGGTCTCCAACCTCGAGAGTGTTTGCATCCCAAACATTTATATGCTTGTCGAACGAGCCAGAGATAAAAATTCCAGTGTCCACTGGATACCATCGAACTGATGAAACGGAGTACCTATGGGCTTTGTCAATAGAAAAGAGAGCTTCGTGCTTTTGAGAGTAATGCTCCACCGTCGTTGGCTGTGATATGTCATAGACACTGATCGATCCATTTCCATTGCCAGCAAGCATATATCTAGCTTCCACGGGATCAATCTAGCACAAGATTTACACAGTAATTTTCAAACTGAAAATGAAAGAACCGATCCAAATACCTGCAAGCTGTTCACAGCGCCTCTGCCAGACGAAATCACATCCTTGGTCTTGCACAGCTCCAATGCGTGAGATCTCATCCGGCGAACAGAAGCAGCGTAGCGCCATGGCGGTGCCCCGAGCTCGCGCTCTCGAAGACCACTCCACATTGGCGCCACACCATAAACCCTAAAAGAAATTACGTGTTTTAAGACTTTTAAAATACAAATATAAAACAGCTTTCCACGTGGCACAGTACCTGCCAGGTGGCATTCTGCGTGGTCCTGACGTGGCACTATTGCAAGGTCTTGACGTAGTGATCCAATGCCATGTTAAACAATTCGCATCTGGAAGAACGATTGAGACGACCACAAGAGCGAGGGAGAAGAGATTTGGATCGACCTGAAAGGCTGGCCGGGAGAGTAGAGAGGATTCTTCACGACGTACTCGACGTAGATGTTGCTATAGATGTGCATCAAAGCCTCGCGGAGATCTCCAATCCTGGGATCTGTCAAGAGAATGATCTGCGAGAAGAAGACAAACTAAGCCTGGAGCTACAAGCGCGCATTACCTTGATCCCAGACGCCGTCTCCATGAAATGTAGCTTGTAAGTGTTCGTCCGGAAGCTATAGAAGGAGCACGGCGGATTGTTCTCCTTCCCGGAGCTGAAAATCACCAAATTTTCACCAGATCTAGCGAGAATCCCCCTCACCTCACTGGATCGATCTTGGCCGTGAAGGAATTGAGCGAGAAGAGCATTCCAAACATGAGCTTTTGATCCTGCTGGGGACTCAGCGTCATCAGCGATCGCAGCCAGACGTGGTAGTGCAAGCACATGCCATTCCTGTTGAAAATGTAGAGGCATCGCATCCTCGGGGCCATGGCAAGCGCCATAGCGATCAAGAGCCCTAAATTTCGCTTTACTCTTCTCAAGAACCCTAAATATTGCGAAGAAAAAGAGAAGATTTTCCAGGTTAGGGTTTTCTATTTTGTCGACGATGAATCACCTGGATCAGCCGAGAGTAGCCAAATTCCTTCGCGCCTACCTTCTAGCAAAGTATCTTCGCAATGACAATCTCCCCTGCGAGATCGAGCAGGTACATTGTCTCTGGCGCTTCCTCTCACGGATTTCTTCTCTTAGGGGCTCTATCTCGGATCGATCGGCGCAGCGTTCCACAAAGCAGCACTCCAGAATGTGCAAATCACTCACATTCTAACCATTGCCAACGCTCTCGAGATGCCTTTCACCCGGGATTTCAAGTATAAGCGTGTAGAAGGTATGAAGTAAAAGTTCTTCTCATAGTTTGCTTTGTTCTAGACTTGTTCTTTGTTCTTGCTAAGACCGCGAGTTCTCGTCTATCTCTTGCTCGATCATGTTCTTTCTTCTTGCTAAGAATGCAAGTTCCTGTCATATCTCTAGATTTCTCAAGGTTATCCCATGGTTCTCTGTGTTCTATGTTCTTTGTATTGGTTTTCTTATGATCTTGCTTTGGTTTTCTTATGTTTTGCTCGTGTTCCTTGTTTTTCCAGTACTGGACAGTGCCGACTCCAACTTAGCAAGCCATTTTGACGATTGCTTCGCGTTTATAGACGAAGCGAAAGCTTCCGGTGGAGCAGTTTTAGTACATTGTTTTGCCGGAAGATCTAGAAGGTTTGTAACTTTCGTTTTTTTCAGTCCAGGAAACTTACCCTTTTGTGCAGTGTCACAGTGATCGTGGCTTACCTCATGAAATCTCACAGATGGAACCTCTCGCGAGCGCTGGAGCTCGTCAAGAGCAAGCGTCCGGAAGCGTCGCCCAATCCCGGATTTGTTCTCCAGCTCCAGCGATTCGAGCAGCAGCTCCGCTTGCATCCAGGCACTAGCATTTAAATCTCTCCTCGCTCCTCCCCTTTTTCTCCTCGCAGTTCTCGGTGCTCCTGATCGAGTTTTTCTCGTTTTCCTTGGTTGCAGAAGCTCTTCGCGAGAGATGAAAGTATCTAAAGTTCCATAGAAAAGGACGATCCAAAGCTTTGTTCTACCACAAACACACAGACAATATAACAAAAGTTTTGATATTTAACACTCACCGCTTTGATTAGCTAGGGTTTTTCCGCGCGAAGGCCGCGAATCGATCGCTAGCAGCGATTTCTCCATCACCAGGGCTCCGGAATCGCGCAGCAGGATGGACGATCGGCTCTTGTTTCACAGGGAGGATCTCGGCGATGGATTCCTGAGCGACATGGACGACGAAGTCGACATGGAGGAGATTCGGGAAGGGATGAAGCTTGTGCCGCTGCCCGATATGTATCCCGACATAGATCGAGAGGCCCCTTTCTCCTCCTTGGATGATATTTTGAGATTACAGGTTCGTTCTCTCCGTCTCTAGCTAATGTAGCTCACTCCAATCGCTCTCCAGGGCGCCGATGAACCATACAAATCCAACGAGGAAGATCAGTCCCATTCTGGCGAAGGTACTGTGATAGAAGATTTTTTTTTCTTGGTGCCTTGTTTTCGAAAGTTCATACACTGTGTCATATCTTCTTGTTTCTTTTTCGCTTTAAGTTCTTACATTCTCTAGACTTTTCTTTGGGCTGTCCGAGTTTCTTTTTGGATCGACCATTGGCATTGTTCTTCTTTCTTGTCGACGCTTAGCTAATTGTCTCAAGCTTCTTTTTTTTTGTTCTTTGGATCTTCGTAGCTGCGAAGAAAGCTGCCAAGGTTGCTGCTCCTCATGTTCTCACTGGTGGTGTAGTCGCGGAGAGTGGCCCTCCGCCAGACTTTAGCCTCTGGACCGTGGAAGATGATCTTCTTCTTAGAAACGCAATGGAGGTAAAGTGAGCTGCTCGCAGTTTCAGCATGAAACAAGCATGTCTTTACGTTGGGTTTCTTTCCATGTAGGCAGGCGCGGCCATGGAAGCTCTTGCCAAAGGTGCCATGCGATTCTCACGTCGTTACACAGTTCGAGAGCTCCGGGAGCGATGGAGAGCTCTTCTTTACGATCCGGAGATCTCGTCCAAGGCGGCCATCCGGATGGTAGAGGCAGAAGCGTCGTTCTTGGAGTCCATGCGGCTCATGTTTCCCAACAAGCAAAAGCTCCAGGACTTCGTGCACAAGCGGCGGCAGAAGAGCGTCCGTGATACTTTCTACAAGAGAAAGAGAGGCTTGGCAGATGACAAAGGCGTGCTTGATGGCGTCGCCGACGGTGGAAGCCAGATCAACCTTGGAGAGAACGACTTGGACATGCTAGTTGATCCGGACGATCACGCTTTCTCTCAGATGGTCGATCTTCTTGCTACCGGAGGGATTGGAGCTGTCATTGGAGCTTTCCCTGGTGAATCTGAACTGGAAACGCAGCAGGATGCCAAGGACGAAGTCTCGCTTGAGAGTTCACTCAGCCCCGTGATGCTAGCAGCCCCGGAAAAATCATCTCAAACGAAGCTTGACGAACCAAATGGAGCTGCCGAAAATGACGTGACTGGAGATGCCAAGAAAGAGCTTCATGCAACCATTTCGGGTGAACGCATGCCTTCGTCTTCCAACTTGGACGTCAATGGCAATCCCGAGCCATACGTCATACTTTCGTCAGACGAAGAGGAAGACGACTATTTCCGGAAGCCGAAGAAATCACGCACAGATTCAGTCGTCCAGGAGAAGTTCGTCTGCTCCTTCAACACACAAGAGACAGAGATATCGGCCTTTGGAGCTATGTCCTCCCCTTCTTCCGAGCGCGTGCCTAGCTCACCGGAGGACGGCAGAGGCTGCACAAGTGATATGAGGTCTTCGGACTGTCTCGACAGAGCAGACGACGAGACGGCTGAAACCAGTGAAAAGCCGATCATCGAAGGCGGCAGCTACACAAGTTTTGCCTCAGGTAAACAATCTCTGTGGGTTATTGAAATCCTTTTTTGGTTTTGTGTTGTTTTGTTTTGATTTTCTGCTTTGTTGTTTTCCCAGCAAACGTGAAGATAGAGCCCGGAACCGAGACGACAGGCGGGCTAGAAGCCGATTACTCGGCTCCAAAGGCGGGGACTTGCACAGACAACGAACTGGAAGTCACGACGGGCATTCAAGAACTCCCTCCGGAAGTCGAAAGCGACAATGAAATCGCTCGTTTCTCGGATGTTGAGACCATGGTAATTTCTAACTTGCATTAGAACACTCACACATTCTTCGTTATCTGTTCTGCAGATACTAGACATGGACTTGGATCCAGGTGACAATGAACTCTCCGCAAGGGCAGGTAAAACTTTATCTGCAAGTACTTACATGGCTTGTGTGTGTATTACATAGAATCAAAGCGTTTCTATGGACAACATCAAATGACCATTCTAAGGTTGGAGCAGAGTGTAAACGCCGTGATGCAACGGTACCTCACTCGTAAAGGCGCCATTGCCATGCTCTACGGATACCACTTGAAGTATCTCATGGTGGCCAACGAGGTTTGCAAGAATGGCTGCTTTTCAGCTTCACGCTTGGCTCACACTTTGCATCCAAGGTTTCGATCGGTAGACGGACGCAAGGAAACGTCGTTGATGTCGATCTCGCACAGGAGGGCCCAGCAAACAGAGTTTCCAGAAAGCAGGTTTGTAGTTTCCAAGTTTCTGTCGCAGCTCTCACCATGGCTTTATTTTCAGGCAAGCATCAAGCTAAACGAAGATGGGATGTTCCATCTGAAAAACCTGGGAAAGAAGGTGTTGTACGTGAACGATGTTCTAGTTTTCACTGGCCAACGCGCGATCCTAAGCTCTAGTTGCCTAATCGAGGTCCTAAAATTTACCATCTGCCTGGAATGTTTTTACCTTTGGTTTTTCACAGGTGGGCGGCATGAGACTGGTTTTCGAGATGAACAGGAGGCTAACTCATCAGCGTGTAAAAGAAATGACCCAAGAAAGCTCGTAACAAAAGTAGATTCGTTGGTAACTTGAATTAACTCATCACCTAAAGGTGTATTTTTTTTCCTAGACAAAAATAAAATAAAATCGTGGAAAAATCTTTCAGGTTTACCTTTTTCGTTGAAAAAGGTAAGAAAGGTTTTCCTATTTTTCCTTTTGGCATTATATAATAGGAAAGGTTGGCCTGATTCCTGGAACGAGTGATGTAGTAGGACTCCGCCCTGGTGCCCTGCTGGACCACGAACCCTTCCTCCACCGGCAGGGCTCCATCGGGGCAGCGCTTCACCGCGAGGCGGAGATTGACGACCGGGAAGAGCTGATTGACGACGCGGCCCTGGTGCCGCGACATCTTGGCGCCCGGCGGGACCAAGATGGATACATCTTGATGATGCTGATCCTTATCACATCGATATTTATCTTGAGCTTTGCCCATCGCCTCAGTAGCATAAGTAGGGGTATGAAGAGCGAAAGGATAGAAAAAGCATTGTGTGTAATGGAGTGCTTTGGAGCTTACACCGTAGGAGCCGAGCTAGAGCGCGAGGCGTATTGGCCCCAAGCCAAGCTCCGGATTTCCATCTCCGGCGCTGGAGGATTCATCGCCTCGCACATAGCGCGGCGGCTCAAGGCGGAGGGACACTACGTGATCGCGTCCGACTGGAAGAAGAACGAGCACATGAGCGAGGACATGTTTTGCCACGAATTCCATCTCGTGGATCTGCGCGTCATGGAGAATTGCTTGGCGGTGACAAGGGGCGTGGATCACGTCTTCAATCTCGCGGCGGACATGGGCGGAATGGGATTCATCCAGTCCAATCACTCTGTGATTCTCTTCAACAACACCATGATCAGTTTCAACATGCTCGAGGCGTCCCGGATCAATGGAGTCAAGAGGTAGCCTGTGATGTTTCTAAGTTGTTCTTCCCAAGGATTTGGAGCTCACTCTCTCGCTTGGCTTCCAGATTTTTTTATGCGTCCAGTGCATGCATTTACCCCGAGTTTAAGCAGCTGGAGACTAACGTGAGTTTGAAGGAGTCAGATGCATGGCCAGCAGAAGTATGAAAAAGAAAAAAAAAAAAAAAACTTCTTCTCTTTTGTGGGGAATCTGAAAAAATTTGCACTTTGCAGCCCCAAGATGCCTATGGACTGGAGAAGCTGTGCACTGAAGAGCTGTGCAAGCACTACACCAAGGATTTTGGGATCGAGTGCCGCATTGGACGATTCCACAACATCTATGGGCCCTTTGGGACCTGGAAAGGTGAGTTCATAGATTGAGATCTTCTTCTTTCTTCTTTAGCCTGAGTGGGAGTAACTGAGATTGTTTCAAAACCAGGTGGACGAGAGAAGGCTCCGGCTGCGTTTTGTCGAAAGGCTCTGACCTCCACCGATTCGTTTGAGATGTGGGGCGATGGAATGCAGACGCGATCCTTCACCTTCATCGACGAGTGCGTGGAGGGCGTCTTGCGACTCACAAAGTCCGATTTCCGGGAGCCGCTCAACATTGGAAGCGACGAGATGGTGAGCATGAACGAGATGGCGGAGATCATACTCGGATTTGAGAAGAAGCAAATCCCGATCCGCCATATACCTGGGCCGGAGGGAGTTCGCGGGAGAAACTCGGATAACAGTTTGATCAAGGAGAAACTCGGATGGGCTCCCTCGATGCGATTGAAAGATGGGCTGCGGATCACTTACTCGTGGATTAAGGAGCAGCTTGACAAGGAAATTGGCGAGGGATCTCAAGACTTACTTGCGGGTTACAGCTCCTCCAAGGTTGTGGGAACTCAAGCTCCAGTCCAGCTTGGTTCTCTCAGGAAGGCCGACGGAAAGGAGTAAATCCATAACATTTTTGAATCTAAAAGAACGCAAAAATTTCAATGTAGTTTCGTTTTTTTAAATTGGAGGAATATTATTACCCTAAAGGTATATTCGTGAGGTTTAGGGCTTGCTTGTTTGGATGGAGGGAGAAGTAACTTGCGCGAGGTTGCGTCTCCAGGACGATCGATCGGTGTACGCGAGGGTGCAATGGACGCCGGGCGCCTTCACGCTGGATGTTTCGGATGGATTCCAGGCATGGAGCTGTTCGCGTAAGTGAGATCTTGGCTTTGGCCCTCATTCCGGCTCTGGAGCTCTGTGTAGCATCCCGCGACATGATCGAGGACCGGGCTAGCCAGTGGGATCAATCCGTGGCCGATTATCTCCGAGACGTGAGGAGCCGATTGAGCGAGCACCAAGCTTCGTCCGTGTATAAGCTTGAGACTCCCTCAAGTAATGAAGCAAAAGTAAGAACCGATTGTTTTTCTTTCTTTCTTCCTGCCTTTCTTCTTGTTTGATCTCGAAGGCTCTGTCGTTTGATCTTGTATAGTTGTCTTGGACGATCCAGAGAGCTGGAACCACGTTGGAATCGCGCTGGAAGCTGATAAAATCAGCGGATTCCAAAGCGATAAATTGCCAGATTCTAGACTTTGTTCTAGAGGCAGACACGAAGATAAGAGTACGTGACTCTTTCGAGTTCTAGATTGAGAGCCTTTCTGTGCAGGAGGAGCTCAAGAACAAGACGAGACTATTTAACAGCATGAAAGCCGAGGTTGATAAATATCTGGAGCAAAACAAGAGACTCGTTCAAGAAAAGAACCAATCCGAGGAGGAGCTTATTCGCAAAGTAAGATCGCCTGTAAACTTTGGCTTGTGTGATTGACGAGCACATCTCTCCAGTTTGTGGCCTTGCTCAATTCAAAGAAAGCCAAGCTTCGCGAGCTCCAATTGGCCGTTCCTACACCGTCTAGACGATCAAGCAGCGGAGACGATGACGAAGAAGAAGAGGCTACCGACAGAGAAGACAATGGTGACGAAGAGGATGATGATCAATCCTCCATTAGAATGGCGGCATCTCCCTCTCAACAAAGTATCTCCCCCAAACTCAAGCAACGAGAGATCGTTCCCGAGAGTCCCATTGCTCCGGAGAGTCCATCCACAGCAACGAGCTTGAAGCAAACTCCAAGAGACGATAGTTTGATGCTACGAAGCTCATCGAACTATACCAGTATTCCTCGAAAAAGGAAGCTTTTATAGTTCTAATACCTTAAACTCTGTATATATGTTATATATTAATTGATTAAACCCTTATAGCTAGCTTTTTTCTTTTCTTTTCAATATGAAGTTGGTACTTTTTTTATCAATGTGGCATTGAGTTCAAGGGCTTTGCATAAGAAACCTTTCGGCCTGGCTTTGAATCTTACTCATCGCGGGTGCCCTGATGAGTTCTCTGAACAATCTGTGGCTGAAAATAAAATAAAAATCAAAACATTTGTATTTGTTTGCAGAGAAATTGAGGAAGGTGAGAAACAGATATATTGGCTACAAAAGATGGCGTCTTCAAATGTTTCCATGATAACACTACAGATCATATCGAGTTTGCAGACAGGAAAGCCATTGATTTCAGGATAGATGCCAGCAGCCTGCGGGGCATTTAGTGCAATGGATTTCTTCAAATTTGATTATCTGAAAGCATTCATGTTATATCATGACTGTAATCCTGGTTGCGGAATGAAAACCTCTGCTTGAATCGAACTGTTTTAAGCTCCTTCAATGTAACGTCAACTGTCCCAAGAAAAATAAAACAAAAACACCCAAAGTCGGAAGTGTTGACTCACTGACAAAGTGTCCAGTTATGATTTTGCCTTCAACTTCAATGTCCAGTGCATGTCAACCAACATGTAAGCTTAAATGTATTGGCAGATGGACTCTTCACAAATTCGGATACAAAGAATCGTATCTATCGGATGAATGGCTGACCAAGCTGATTATTATTCACTGGTTTGCTCCTTTGTCACTAATTTACATGGCTAATCTCACAGACAGTCCCAAATCCCTTCTCATGGATGAAGCTTCAAAACTAACGAAGGACTCGCACCAGGTATAAATTAGTGATGAAGTGGACTAGACTTGGGCTAAACTTCGGACTGTATTTTCTAGACTCTAGAGGAGCTCACTTCAGACGAATACCTCGACTACATCAGTAAGTTTGTAATTGCACCATATAAAGATAGTATCGTGCCTGTGATGAGTACAAGCCAAATCTCAAGTGAGAGCAGCCTGTTAGTGCTGAGCGATCTGGTTGACAAGGCACACACAAGAGGCTTGCAAGTTCATCCTTGGACATTCCAGAATGAGTATCATTTCTTGCACAAGGACTTCCATTATTAAGAGTTTGATTTTTGGCTAGACAAGATTAGCGTTGATGGCATCTTCACTGATTTCCCCATACAAAAGAAAGCTCTTCATTAGATTATTTATTTTGATTATTATTTCTCTTTAGTTTTTGTTCAAGTCATCTAGCTCCCATTAAGTTTCTGGAGTGTTGCACCAACACGATGAGCAATGGGATCATATGCAGCATTTTTCTTAAGAAGAGATTATGAATTGGGCTGATTATCAGGTTGATTTGGTTGTCACCTTTTTAAAAATGCCAAGGAACTTGCTACCAACAGGCATGACATTTTGCATGCCAATAAAGTGACCATTTAGTTGTTGCCTGACAAGCATGTATGGTGAGACTAGAGAAGATGTCACCAAGGGATCATCCAGTGTTGCAACATGATTCTTCACATCATAAGTTTTGGTTAGAGATATTGTTTGTTTGCAAAATGGCACAACCGATGCTTTTGGCAAAATAATATTGTCACAGAGAATATGTAACTGTGTATCGTTGAAAATGAGTTTTGGAAGGAAAAAAACACACTCCACACCATGCTGGCTGGTCTGCTGTTCAAGAATTTATATGAAAAACTAGATTATGTTCTATTTTTAAAATACTTTTTGATGTCTATATTATAAGCCATATTGTGTTCCAATTTTTTATTACATATAAAACATCATAATGTTATATATATAAAAACTAGATTATGTTCTAGTTCTATAATAGTGCTTGAGAGTATATCTATATTAAAAACCATAGTATGTTCTAGTTTAGAACATAAATTATATACAGAAAAAACATTAACATTAAGTTTTACATTAAAAACATAGTTTTAAAATAATTTTCAAGAAAATTATATGTTATCTAGTAGAAACTATATTGATTCACAGAACCATATGTTATGTATATTGCTTGCTATATTCAGTTCTACTATACTGTAAAAGAATTAAAAAAAAAACCATGCATGGAATGAAAACCATATTGACAGGCATACTGTATCACCTTTAATTTCAAGAAAGGCATCAATTTTTTTGTGCTTGGAATTTGAAAAAGAAAAATAAAAAATATCTTATAGTGATCAAGCCTTATCCATGACCTCTGTTTAGAAATCCCTTCAATGCCATATACCTAGAATCTCCCAAGAGTTAAGTAAAGTTTCTTCTTGAAGCCATCACTTCAGTGTGGTTAAGGCCATTCATAAAGGTGTGAGAAAGGCCTCTAAACAAAGGAAGAGCTAAACAGACTATCCACCTTCCATAGTTAAAACCAAAGAACTGAAGCATCAAAAAAAGACTTTTCTACAAGCACAAAGTTTTGTCACATTTAGCACTAGTCCATAATTCTCATGTATAATGAAATTGGCATGGAAAAAAGAGAAGAAGCTATGAAAAGAACCTTAGATCAATCTATTGAGCTAAGCTTCTTTTTATTAAAAGATTGTAACTTCTCCAAACTCAAGAACAAGATTTGTCTCCTTTGTCATAGTGGACAAAGCTGCAATCCTTTTGAAATCTTGCATAGGTGAGTTTGGAGATGATATTTAAACATCACACAATAAAATGTATTCAGTGAGGCTCTTGCCTTTTTTAAATTAGGTATATTCTTACCCAGTTGTTTAGATGAGCTTGGGGCTAAGCCTCAGACAGTGTATGCCATGGTGCAATGCATTGGGCACATTCGCTCATGTAAGTGAAAGCTCTGCTTGCTTTGGTATTCATTCCAGCTATAGAGCTAGCATCTGATCAAGAAAGAGCTGATTGAGCAAGCACTAAAGCACTGAATCAAAAGTCATGTTTATCTCTTTCTTCCTGCCTTTCTTCTTGTTTTTTTTTAATCTTAGAGGCTAATCTTGTATAGTTGTCTTGGACAATTCAGAGAGCTGAAACCATATTGAATTACAGTGGAATGTGATGATGTGATAAATTCACCAGATTCTAAAGCAATATTTTGCTATGGATTAGGACAATTATGGAGATATTCTTTTATGCAAGTAAATTAAAATTATTAAGCTTTTTCAGGAGCTTGTCATCAAGAGAAGGGAAAATAATAAAATTATTAATAAAATACTAAATAATGAAAAAGAAAAAATAAATTTATCTAAGTATAAAGTCCTTAAAACTCTATCTTTATAGGGCTAAGATGGAAACTAATCCAAAAACGTGGGTATAGAATCTTAGATACCCATCCATGTGTATAGCATTCAAATCCCATGAGCAAAGATTTGAAGTTTAATTCACCAGTGGTACAGAAAGATCACAAATGCATGATAATATTAAATTAAATATAAATAAATTTTAAAGAAGAGATACCAAATATGCTCTATAAAGCTGATCAATCAAGAATGTAATTTCCATATTTTTATTTTGATGGTGCTAAAACTGACTTAGTCTGGACAAAACCTCTAAAACAATTAGCGAAACAGTTTGATAGAGACAAGCAAAGGCTTTACCAACATAGATCACATCAACACCACAATCATCATGCCAAGATCTAGAATTGTTGCTTGTTTCTCCAGTTAAGCTCTGCCATCTTCAAAAGATAAAAGTTAAATGAAACCATAAATTATTAAGGAAAACAAAGAGAAATAGATCAAGAGAGAGCTAGAAAGAAATATGTGATTGATTATATGTGTTTTTTTTCTTAGGCAACTTAGCTAATGGGTTAGTTCATGGTAGCATATCATCCTGCCAAGTCATTTAAATCTATTGGATACATAATGCTAGTATATATAGTACACCTTACATAATATTACACA